GCTGTTTGCTGTTCGGCTGCCATTCCCCCTTGCTCTTCTTGCTTTGCTGTCTTCTGCCTCAGAGCCAGCCAAGTATGGACTGAAACCTCCACAAACTGTGAGCTAAATAAACCTTTCCTTCCTTCATTTTGGGCATTGGGTATTTTGTCTCAGCAACGAGAGAAAAGTAACCAAGACAGTCTCTGTTAGTGGGGAAGAGGAACAGATGGAATTTACAATGAACTTAGGGGCCAGGAGTACAGCTCAGTGGTAGAGTTCATGCCTGAGGCCGTGGGCCCCATTCCACATACCCCTGCAAGAAGACTGAATAAGAGGCCCTCAGGAAGAACACTGCCCACCTGCTTTGTTCGAAGCCCTGCAGCTCCTTCCACCACAACAGCAAAGACACAAACGTTTTCTACCCCTAGACTGAAAAACACAGAGGGCATGTTAAATTCACCATTCATTCAGCATTGTGTAGGGGGAAAGGGCTGAGAGTCACACAAACTTGGTTTCCCTTCCTGCCCTGACACCAAACTGTATGACCTCGGGCCAGACACGGCGCCTCCCTGTGCCTCAGTTTCCTCACTTGCAAGCAATAGACAACCCTTCTGCATGGGGTTTGCATGAGGATTTAATGAAACTGCATCTGTAAAGTGCCTGGGTACTGGCGGCTCTGAACGTGCAGCAGCACCTCCTATGTGTACCTGGAGGAACTTCATACCCATGAACTGACCTCCAAGCGAGCGCCTTCCCTGGAAAAGCAGGGGCTGAGACTTGCCGAAGGTAAGGAAGCGGGGACCAAGAGCGCAGCTCACAGGGACGGCCTGTGGTGTGTGAGTGACTTGCACTTGTTCAGTGCTTTCAAACTTCAGTGAATTAGGAGTTCTAAAATAATAAAATATATGTAGAAGCCCAGAATGTGAAAGGGATACAACAGCTAGAGATGTAGCTCGTGGTACAACATGCACTTACTATGCCTGACACCCTGGCTTCCACCTCCTGCACCATAAAACAAGCAAACAAAAAGGAAAATAGGCACAACAGCTCTGAGGAATCATGGACTGAAGTCCAGAGGCTTCTTAGATTCTTCCCTTCCTTCTACCCCTCCCCCTGCATCTCTATCCAAGTACTTCCTAGACCCACGTCTGAAACCCCTGTGCCAAGTTGTCTGTCTGGAAGACTCCTCCTCCTCCCGCCTCTGTGATACCATTCCTACCACATCCACAGAGTCCTGCACATCTCCAGCCACAGATGTCTTGATGCCTCGGGCAACTGGAAGACTTTGAAATAGGACACTTGTCAAAAATACCCAAGATAGGTTTCCCAATACTGATTTCTGCTTTCTCTTATCCCATGGATTGGAAAGCCGTTTAGAAGGAATTAGAGCATATATTGGTAAAGACATCCATAAAGTTCTCTAATGAAAAAAAGATTGTTCTAGGGTGTTTTTTTTAAAAAGATGCTTCCAGAGGTAGATCATATGATAAGCCCCATATCTTCATAAAATTCATACCTACCAAATAATTTACAGTTGCCGAAGCATGAAAGACAACGTGTAACATGCAATCATGATTATAGAAGAATCTTTAAACATGAACTCATGGCTCTGCCTACATTTTTACGCTTACTAAGCCCAGCCAACACATTCACAGAGTTGCTGTAGGGTGTCGACACATAGCTGCAGGCTCAGGCCAGCGCAAGGGGCTTCTGGAAAAGGACCCTGGCTGGTGGCTTCTACAATTCCCCTGCATTCCTTTCTCAGCCCATGGAAGCCCTGCTTGGAAGCAGCTCTGCACTGTGGGCAGGAAGAAAACACAGGGCCAAAGCATCTCCATCACCGGTGCCTAATGTGGAAGATACAGACGGTCAGATACCACTTCAGTGTAGCAATAACTGAAACATGACGCTTTCCAGGGATCTTTCAAAGCAAAACAATGGAGCGTTCGCATCCCAAAGAGTGATATTCACACAGCACCAAGCTGGGCTCTTGGGAGGTCTCCCCTGGTACGATCCGGAGCCCAGCAGGAAATGTCCTTACCTGCCTGGCCCCCGTTTCACTGTGTGTACTCATAAGAAAAAGGAAAAGTTTAAATCTTTGTGCTTATTTCATCAAGTGGACACCTGTTCATGCTGATCTTCATAGCTACAGAGACCACTTCCTGCTGACTGCTCAGTTCCCGAGTTTGTAAACCTGCCATTCAGCAGTCACTCAAGTCACCTAGCATTGTGCCATCTAATCAGCAGTTCCATTCCTCACCGCTTCTCTTCACCCTTCAACGCTCCACAGGCTTTTGTGTCCCTAAGAAACAACTCCCTTTCTCAATCTCTCCTTCTTTGTGTGTAGATGTGTACTCAGGGGATTATCCTAGGTGTCGTCTTGCGTGTCCCATCCAGGACTGGTCACGCCTTTGGAGAGAGCCCTGGAACCACACTGTCCTTCTGTGAACTATTCACCCTCTGCTTGGAGAATGTCCAAGCGGGGCCTGTGTTTGCGTCAGCTGGGCTGATTCAAAACACCACCTCTGGGTTGGCAGCAGGCATTAAAACACATTCCTGCACTTTGCTGAGCAGGAGTAGGAGGCGCCTTCTTTGCAGTACTTTGTCATTTTACTTATTACACAGAGAAACCGATTCGTTCACTTTCTAGGGTAGTTTGTATTCAGGCAGGACCTTGCCTGACAGACCCTTCCCATATGGTGTCCACTGTCTTCACTGGAAATGGTTCTGCCTGCTCAGTGTTTACTGTTCTCTGTTTGATGCCCCCCTTTAAGATCATAAAAATACAGCCCTTTGTTTATATTTCTAAATCTAAACAAAAGACTTATCTGGTTGAACTTGTTTCTGGTTAGCCCTCCGACATTCAGCTAATCCCCTGGTTTGGAGTTTAAAGAGGGCCTTGCAAAATGCGTGGGCAGAGGATAGTCACATGGACAAGGATGGGCAGGGTGGCAGAGAGGGGACCAGAGACTACACTCAGGGCTATGAGAAAGGAAACCATGGAGTGGGAAGCTTTCAAACAAATTCTAAGTATAATGCAAGTTCATTATTACTTAGGAGCTTCAACGAAAGTCTACCCGTTCAGTAATAATCATCCACGTGCACCTTTACGTGCACAGAGGAGAGCGGGGAGCAGGTGAGACACGCACGGTGGAAGCAGAGATCCCGCCCCAGCCCTCTTGGTTTGTGTACACTGTCTGAAATCCCAGGTGGAACTACAAGGGAAAAACTCGTTCCCACCCGCCAAACACTACACAAACAAGCAGTATTTCACCAAGACACACTTGGAGTCAAAGCAGACTTTACTCTTTGGTTACAAAATACACTAGTAGAGCTATGTACAAACAGTAAGCGGCCAATACAGACAGTTTGGTAAACAGAAAGATTATACTACTTAAGTAAAAAGAATCCATAACACTCTGAAGCGGATGAGTCAAATCTAACCGACAGGAAATGAATCCCACCTGAAGAGCAGCATTCCCTCTCCCAGGCTTCTCCCTCTCTGCCACAGCTCCCACAAAGGACAGGACCCAGGACAGAAATGAAGGCAGCTCAAGAGCTGTTGACCAGGGCCGCATGATGCCAGTGCTCTGAAAATTAAGCAGGCTCTCCGCGGAAGCCTCATGTTTTGCACACGGCCCCTGGCCTCTGGGCTATTCTTCTAGGAGGCTCAGCATCCGGTGTAAGGTGCAGTGGGGGGTAGGAGGCTGAAGCAGGAAAGACTCGGCACAGGGACACATTCAGAGGCACAAGCCCGGGACAGAGCTTCAAACGGGATGTTTAAAAAGAGCTTTTACAACCATTTGCACCCTTTCTTCTGCTAAATAAAAGACCTAGTCTGCAGAAAGAAGTCACTGACCTAGGCAGAGCTCCGAGCCTTACCTTTCAGCAGGTTAAAAGTGCCCAGGAGGGGATTCTTAAGGGAGCAGCTCCAACCACCTCTGCCAAGGTGTCCCCTCCTGGCCACCAACGCCCACCTCCCCAGGAGGCTGAGTGCTGCCCTTGCCCAGCCTCCTCCCGGACAGCTCTGGCCACCTCCACCCCTGCAGGGCCACAGACAAAGGACAGAAGGAATTCCCACCGCACAGGGATATTTAAAGAGGTGGTGCTTGCAGGCAAATGCTTCCTGTTTGTGTCTCAGCTCCAGCTCCCATCCCTTTCCTAAGGAAGGCTGCACAGCCTCTCAGCTTGCAAGAGGCCGAGACCTAGGAAAGCCGTGAGTGCGAGGCCGGTTCTCACAAGCGGTTTCCCCACCTATGGTTTCTCCGCTAAGTGGATAGGGAGCTTTACTGAAAGGGCTTTAAAGTCAAGCGCAGACACTGGGTCCGTCGTGATTTAGTAAGTGTTTCAATTTCTGACCTTCAGCATGAACACAGACAGGAGAGGATTCATAAGCACTCATGTACACAAGTGAAACACAGGGCAAGGATTTGCATGTGACCAATTTTGGAGACTTTGGGGATTCATGCTTTTGCTCTGTGCCTCCAGTTTTTTCATCTGAATCTACAGAACTAACAATATGCACTTTACAGGGAGCTTCTGTGAGAACTGCAGAGGTGAGTATAAAAGACCCACACTCTGTACAAAGGTCAGACGGGGGGAAGATCTCATGTTCGGCACACAGGAGGCTCTGGGTCTGATGCCTGGCTCCTCACCGAAGTCACATCAAGTTCACATCACATCAAACACTTGTACTTGATAACAGAGCTAATGTATTTCCTCTCCCAAATCGTATTATGAGGGCTACGGGGGCAGCTCCGTGGTTGGCTGCTTGCCTGGTGGTACACGTGAGGTCCACAGCACACACAAAAATTACAGTGCACACATCTCTTTGCTTGTGCACTCTCTGACCTCCTCAGCTTCCGCAGGGGCACAGCGTGGTCACCGCACGGGGCAGCAACCTCACTTGTCATGCAGATTTCCCATCTCCAGTCCCAAAGAACGGGCAAGTGCATAATTTCCAACAAAATTAAAATTTTCTACAAAATTCTACAAAATTCTGTGGACCGCAGCCCTAGGACACATACTGATTGGGCATCTTTTCCTGAAAATTCACAATCTGAAATATTCAAAGATTTGAAACTTTTTAAGCTCTGCTGAAATCTCCACTTCTGATCTTGGACTTTCAGATTGGAAGTGCTCCACTGGTAAAGTTATACAAATACTCCAAACATCTGAAAATTTTCTAAATCTGAAACACTTCTGGCTTCAAGCATTTTAGATAAGGGCTATTCATTCATTGACTGGATTAGTGAATGAATATGAGTTTCTCAGTAGAGAAATATCCTGGGAAAAAGGCAGTGTGTTTAAAAACTCAGGACAAGTCGGAGTTCTTAAATACCCGAGAAACAAGCTTTGTGTGGTGCCAGAGGGGTGTAAGCCTTGCCCTGGGGATGCTGTGGCAGGAAGGTCACCTTGAGCTTGCCTCACAGCAGCCTGGGTTAATAGTGGGTTCAAGGACAGTCTGAACTACACAGAGACCCTATTTCAAAAACAACAAATAGCCGGGCGTGGTGCCCCACGCCTATAATCCCAGCACTCAAGAGGCTGAGGCAGAAGGATCCTTTCGAGTTTGAGACCAGCCAGGGCTACAAAGTGAGCTCAAGGCCAGCCTGAACTGCATGGCGAGACCCTGTCTCAAAATGACAAAAAAAAAAAACCCATATTAAACCACAAGAAACAGGACCGTATGCTCTATAGGATCACTCTGTTGAAACACCTTATTAAGGTGGTTAATGCACACAGAAATTTTTACAAAATGACTATTGAGTACAATATTTACTGTGACTTAACTTGCTGAAAAAATTTTAGCTTAGTTTAGAGCATCCCTAACATCCTCCTTCAAGCCCCAATCCGTAAGACATGGAAACTCTTCTCATGGCCCTTGAAGTCCTGCTGGGCAGCAGTGGACTCATTGATTTTTTTAAGAGCATTACACAAACAAGAACAAAAATGTGTGCTCCCCCATGGTTCTCACCAGCCAAAGCCGATGTTTAATGTAAAATAACAGTATGCCGGAAGACAGGATGACTGCAAAGGTCCAACACAACATAGTTTTGGGCTCCCCACAAGGAATATAAGCACAACTACAGCAAATATAAACATGTACTAATAAGAATGTTTCAAAGCCTAGAACAAGGACACTCCCCACATCCCTCCTCCTACCTCTCCTACTCAGCTGCCCAAACACTGGAGGCATTTTTAAATTGAATAATTAGACTGTAAAGAATCTCAGAACAGCTTTCAGCAGGCAGGCTTTCTCATCTTACACTTAGCTTCCCGCCTCCGCTGGGCATCTGACCCTCGGACGTAGGGCCTGATGGGTTGTGGAGATGGCCATCCAACAGGGCAGCCTTGTCTTCACCTAATGAAAAGCCTTGAAAGTACCAGAGGTTCTGACATCCACCCTGGATTGCTGGGGTCCCTGCCAGCGGGTTCCTGTTCTACTGCTTTATTACCCTGGTTGTGGACAGGCTTCATTGTAATAGGACTCTGTGTCTTTGTACAGTAATTTGGTTGGCAAATAAAAAGAAAACTTCAAGTTCCTGATCACAGGGTCTTATGCTATCTCTATCATTATTTGAATCCATATATCTGACTTCAATAAAATTTATCTAATGGTAGCTAATTGTCCAGCATTGCTGAAATCTGCTAATAAACATGTTACAGAAAACATAAAAATCAACCTTGTAAGAGATAATCTACAGGCATAACTTAAAGGAACAAATATCACAAAACACATTATCCCCAAATCTGAGTTATTAGGTATGACGTTCATAACAGAATAAAAATCATTCTTTCCTTGTTGCCATTTGTTGTTTTATGGGAGGACAGGGATGCACTATCACCTAACTCCAGCAACTGCAATCTGTGAGGGAAAACATGAGAAAAAGTTACATGGTAAAGTTAATCTTTTTGATAAAGAAGTGTTTTGTTGGTTGTTGGCTGTTGGTTGCTTTGTTTCATTTTCTTTTATTTGCAGTACTGGGGAATAAACCCAGGGCCCTTGCACTGAGCCACATTTTCCCTTCTTAAAAATATTTTTATTTTTGAGACAAGGTCTCACCATGTTGCCCAGGCCTCAATTTGTGATCCTTCTGCCTCAAACTCCCAGAGTGCTGGGATTACAGGTGTGTGCCACCATGCCCAGCCAATAAGCACGCATTTTGACTGTAAATTATTTGTTTTGTTTTGGTACTGGGAATGAAACTCAGGACCTTGCGCTTGCCAGGCAGGCACCGTGCCACTGAGCTACATCCTTGGCCCTAGAGCACACTATTTGTTACCCTCTCCTTCTCTGAACAAGGCTCCCTGTAAATATGAGGTTCCTATTCCCAGTCTCTTCAAACAGTGATAAGAAGACAAGCGCAGGAATAACTCCAGTACCAAGGTGGTATGTGATGAAAGGGAAATGCAGGCTGAGATCCTGAACACGGGGTGTGAATGAGAAGGGCACAAGTTCAAATCCTGTTGTGCCCCTTCCGAGCTGTGGGATCACACGCAACGTCCTTCAGCTCTCCGAGTGGTGCCCAGCCCAGCAGGTCATGAGGACGCCGAGGGCAGGAGTGAACGCAGACCTCTTAACTGAGCACCAGGCTTTCGGAAGTCCTCAGTGGCACCACTGTGCAGAAGCAGAGGATTAAGGAGACACATCAAGAGCCACGCATATTTAGATGGGAAAGAATCCCACCCCACCGTTAAGTACTGGGTAAGCTGTTCCCGGCGCAGAACACTTGGAATGGACAGGCTGCCTGACCCCGCTTCCGGTGCGAGAAAGACGACGTGGAAAGAGGCTTGGGAGAGAGCAGGAGCCACAGATCCACGCGCGGCGCAGCTGCCACACCACTCCTTCCGGGTTCCAGGTCTAATCTCAAGCTGAGGCCAGGGACAGGGGACGGCCCTGGTGTCCGTTCTCTTCCTCCCGCAAAACCACTTCTCTCTGGGTGCCAAAAAGGCCTCAGCGGCCACCTCCACATCTAGGAGGAAATACTCACTCTTTAGAACTACAACCGCTTCTGGCAAGGCTGGGTAGCCCGGATGGGCTTAGCCCCGCCCACCGGAAGCAGCGCCTGCACACAAGTGCTTCCGAATGCCCAGCAAAAGCCAGCGCGGGACGCAGTGCCTGAGAGGGGACAGCTGAGTCACCGCGGCCTCTGCTTAGATGCACGGCGCAGAGCAGCAGTGCAGTGAGAAGAAACCCCGAGCCATGGGGACACCGGACGAAGTTCAGGGAGTCTCAGACAGACGGGGTTTGCTAGAAGTACCAGACGGGAGGAAGCAACGCGGACAAAGACCACAAGAAATATACACGGGGTTCTATTGAATTTGCTACTGAGTATTATGTTCCCGCTCTCAGGGTCCAGTCACAGAGCTGGGCAAAAGATAAACGAGGATCTAGAAGCTAAGCAATTCCCCATACTCCCAAGAGGCCCGGAGACACTAGAGATCTGAGCAGTCTTAATGGAAAGTCTTGTGGAGAGCCTGGGGCTTTAGGTGGGGGCTCAAGAAGATAAGGCACCCCTAAAAGCTACTCTAGGCCGGCCCACCAACACTGAGAAAGAAAATCAGCAAAACCCTGCGTTGGCCTCTCACACACCGCCACCAACAAAGGGAAAGGTCCGCCAGTGCTCAGAAATCACTACCCAAGCAAAGAAGCCAAAAATGTGAAATCTCAGCAATACAGAGCTGAGAATTCACACACAAGGACTTTAAGGAGCAGTCATAAATATATTGTTGCTTAAGGGTTTTAAAAGAAAGGAGGCTATAACTGGGAAATAAAAAGTAAGAAATAAAAAAAATCTGAAATGATGAATATACAAGATGGGATTGCCAACATGTTAATTAA